TTTAACTCCTTCAGAGTGGTCGTAGGTGTCTTGGTGGCCTCCCTCACCAGTCTTCTTCTTGCCCGGTCACTCAGTTTGTGAGGACGGCCAGCTCTAGGCAGATTTATACAAGTGCCATACTCCATCCATTTCTAAATATGGATTTAACTGAACTCTGTGGGATGTCCAGTGAGTTGGAAATCTTTTTGTAGCCATCTCCTGACTTGTACTTTTCAATGATCTTTTCTCTGAGTTGCTTGGAGTGTTCTTTTTTTCTTCATGTTGTAATTATAGTAGGAATACTGATGAACCAGAGACTGGACCTCCCAGACACAAGTGTTTTTTATACTACAATCACTTCACACTCCATTTCACTAATTGTGACACTGGTGGCATCAACTAGCTGGAGCTCTCTGTTTGACTTGGTCATCTCATTTAAAAGGGGTGAATATTTATAGCATGCACCACATCAGTTCTTCTTTACCTTATATCTTTTAATTAATGATTTCACAGTTTGTAAACAATCCGTTCACTGTTTGATACATTGATAATTTTTTTTCCAAAATTCCTTGTCAAAAAGCAAATTAGATATTAGACCATGATTTCATGCTATACCAAAGCAACAAAGGGTTGAACATCCAAAGGTGATACTTTTTATAGGCCATTGTATATACTATCACTTGAGGGGTACGATAAACGCGACTCAAAATTGCTGAAGCCATAAGCACGCCAACCAGAACAACTTTGGGAGTGAAGAACAAATTGAAGCAGCACAAATTCTACATCATGAATTGAAAAAAAGTACAACTTTTTGCGGGCCCCAAGTGGTCACTGTGATTACATGCTCGGACGCGACCGGCGAGCATGCTGGGTCAGTAAAGTGGGAAAGTAATGATGAGGAGGCATTTTTAATGAAACCTACCCGACAGCGTCGATGAACCAGATTCCTGAGATGAGGGTGATAGCGTGGAGTGGTGTAATCAGGTGTTATTGCAGCGGATATTATAAAACCAGTTTGAGTCGCGGTGCATTCTTTTTCCAGAGCAATTTGCTGTATCGATCTTCGTCGGCGATGTAACCTGAATATCAACAAATATGACAAGTAAAAGCAGGCTTTAAGCAGCAATATGAAGCGCTGAATCTGCAGCTCTACTACAGAGGCTGTGTTCTCCGGGTACCGCACACACCAGAGGAAAAAACTGTAAAAACCACACACACCCAAACTCACCTGCTCCAGCATCAAACAGAACAGCTTACAGACACCGCAGCTGGCTGAAACAAAGTGGCAGGCATTTAGCTGCTTAAAGCCAGCCAGATAAAATCCTAAGGAGTTGGTGGCCAAAAAACTGACGCTTAAAGAGAGTGAAATAATGTGGCACCAACCGGACCACCGCAGAGTCAGTTTCTTAGAACTTCAAATCCGACCGGCTCAGCCTCGATTCACGACCAACAGCGCGCCTCGGCGCCGGACCTGGATCTTAACCTCACCCCCCACCTGAATCTGTCTTACCATTACCCTCTCATTTCATCCCGCACATCCTCTTCACTGTCATTTGCATCATTCCTGACACCTGAGCGCGTGCGCGCTCATTTAAAATTACTGTACACCTCAACGACGGTACCTGCAATAGCAGGCAGGACTCCTCTTTGACTCTAACCCTGGTCGGGCGCGCTGCCACGTTTACAACAAAATAACAGGCACCGGTCCTCGATTCAGCAGCCCTGGTCTATTTTATAGAACAATCTTACAAGCTTGAGCGTTTAAAATTAAACGTAATTCTGATGGAACACCACGACGTCAAGTATTGCTATGTTCATTCGATCACGTTCACATTATAAGTTTTTTAACAAATTCGTTCTTCACACACATAATCACGCATTGACTAATATGTTTTTCATCTTCCTGGGCTGAACAAGCAGTTCTGTGTGTAAAATGCTATAAAGGGCGGTCTCATATAGAGGCGCCTGGCTTGAATCTCCAGCTGACTGAAGCAAATAAATCCACGTATTATTAATAAATAACTAATTAAATCTTTATTTATATTTTTATCATATTATATTCAATACTTATGCATGCAGGTCGCGCTGGCTCGCCTCACCACTACTGCCGCTCAATTTAACACCAGCGCTTCAATCAGCCTAGAAGTATCTCCGCTGTGTGAAGACGAATCACATGTGCTCCAGCAAACATCGAAATCTATTACACTAGATTCTGAGAAGATCTCACATAACACACACGCATACTAACTCCAACGGGAAACGCCTTCTCCATATGTTGTGCAATACTATCGACTGTTGTAAAGCCGAGACCCGAACTCATAATCCAGTCTGTTTTTGAGTTAAATTATCTTCATTTGAGGCGTTTTCAAAACAATATTGATGTATGCTGATGCTATTTGAAATTAAGGATAATACTTAGATAAATCATTATAAGATTACGATAGACTTTATTGATGCCACATACGGGGAAATTCACTCACTAGCAGGGCAGCTCCAGATCAATAAAAAAACATTGCGGTGAGCAATAGAGTTGTATGTAGACCTATACAGGTTTTTAAGAGTGGTAATGACCTGTCAAAAAGGGCCAATAAATATAATCAGTTACCTGCAGGTTTTCAAGTTGAATCTTTTAACGTTCTAATGTGGGCTGCTGTTAGCGAGGTTTTTTGTGTCTTTTTGATGCTAGATGTTCCACTTTATTTACCAAAACAGTAAAGTTTAAAATTTAAATAATAAACCGAATAAACTTATTGTGTTGTTATTGTGCTGATTCTCTATAGGAGCTATAACAGCTGCTTTATTGAGATTATTTTATTGTGATTGTTGGCTTGTTTCACAAGTTTGAAAATGGTTCACATGAATTAATTTAATTTGCAGTTACTTTTACTTCTTTTTTATGTTTAATTATGTTGAAAATCGTGTAAAATGATGTAAAATATGACATTATTTTAAGGAATCTGTGGTTTATCATGTGCAGATAGACAGACAGATAGATAGATAGTAGAAGATAGATAGATAGATAGATAGATAATGTAGATGATTAGATAGATAGATAGAAGAGATCTGGCGCCCTCTGATGGTTATTATCAGTTTGATAAAAAGCACATTTTATTTTTTTCCTCAAACAGAAAATCAATAATCAATAACTTCGTCTGAAATCGATGACAATGAAACATTTGGTGTCTGTGTGTTCAGTTATTCTTTTCATTCCGTCCAAAGTCACCTACACTGAATTCTACCTGCGAGGTTCATGAAGTCAACAACAATAAACAAACATCGCACCGGAAGCTGGATGGGTTTACCTTCAAAATAAAAGCACTATAGCTGTTTGGGTGAAGGGAAAAAATGGGGTCAAAGTTCTGATTAATTAGTTATTTTCATTAAACACTACTCCTATATATAAAAATATGAAAAAACACATGGAATAAACATAATTAAGTTCAATTTCAATTGAATATATAGCATAATATATAATAATATAGTTTATATATACCAATGTAAGCTATATAAAGGTGTACCTGTATAAGATACATACCATGTAGTCACAGTGTCCCCCAAACTAAAGACTTTAAATATACAATGTTCATGATATTGACTTGTATTTTTGACTTATAATATTATTATTTGGGCCTAAAACAGTAAAATGCTGACTTATTATCTCAAAAGTCTGACTTTGCCTACTCATACGAGTATTTTTAGTTTTTCTTTCACAACGTTTTAAACATCTTTTTCTAAATTCTGACTCCACTGGTTAATCATAATTATTCAAAATCTTCTTTTTAAATATAATATAATGCAACAAAACCTACAGACAACAAGACAATACAGAGGACCATCTCTTTGGACTATGTTTTTTTTATACATAAGCAGTTTAACAGTTGTTTGTTTGTTCTTACTTTAACTTTTTCACTTGTTTTCAGGCTTCTGTCGACGTTCTGTTACATGAAATAAATCAAAATCTTCCTGCAGGCTTCTTGCATTCACATTCAAACAAGCACAAGTTCTTTCTGAGAGTTTTCTTGGTCTTCAGATCTCATCTTGACCTCACACGAAGTCTGAAGAGTATTTGTAAAGCTTTTAAATTGGCACCAGCTGACGTTTGATAATCACTAAACTGTTGACATGCTTCAGCCTTGAGGAGCTGATGGACGTCTGAGACCTTGTAAAAAAGAAACTGAGACAGCAGAACTATTTTTATTCAGTGTATGATGGAAAAAACGAAACCATGCATGAATGTTTGCTGAAAATATTGTGTATTGTGGTCGAGACCGTAGAGAGTTCACAGTGGAATCACAATAAAGAACATTCCCACATATTCTATAATATAATATAATATAATATATTAATAAACTTTATTTATACAGCAATGTGCCTTACATGGCGTCAACCAGGATTAACACATTTCAGAAAATATAATCATAACAATTAAAATCACATAGAGGTGAGAATAAAAGAGAATAAAAGACCCCCATCAGTAAAAAAAATAAGAATTAAACAATTACCGCACTTAGTTAAATAGTTGAAATACACAAATTAAAGAATAAAATACCTATTATCAACAATAATACTAATAAAAACTGACTGGTTAAACAGGGCTGATATGATGGGCACATAAATTAAAATAAAATAAAAATAAAACGTGTCTGATGTTAATGGAAGAACTGCATTTAGAAAACAAACGAGGTCCAAAGAGAAATAAATAGTAAATATTATAAGTTTTGTGGAAAAAGGAGAAAAAGAATAAATATACAAACACTATATGAGCTGTAATATTATTATTAATAATAATAATAATAATGCTAATAATAACAACAACAACAATAATAATAACAATAATAATGATATTAATAATTATAATAATAATATCAATACCAATATTAATAACAATAATACAAACGTCAATAATAATAATAATAATAATAATAATAATAATAATAATAATAAGATTCACAACATTCTGCGTTTGGCTCTTATTTTCAAAATAAAACGACCGGAAGTAGAAGCTCCATGTTGCTGCTCGCTTGCCGTAGGTTTTGCGGGAGGCTGACAGCGCTGCAGCCGCACAGAGTGCGACACTCTCAGACACAGTCTCACTGACTTTGGATATTTTCTGCGGGGGGGAATTTGAGGAGAAGCCCGGAGACAGAAATAAAGGAGAAAAAGAGGAAACAGAGATTTAAGTCGGTTTGTCTAACGGCGGAATGGCGGACCGGGACCCGGTGCCGCTTCCTGCGGAGGTGCGGGCCAAACTGGCCGAGCTGGAGCTGGAGTTATCCGAGGGTGAGTACTTCCACCGCCGAGCTCCGGTGGCTCTTCCCCGGCTGCTGCTGCTCGCTGCTCCCGGGAGGAAGGTGGAGGTTGTTCGGTGTGTCGCTGCTGGTTCGGTGCAGAGTTTGAGCTGCAAGAGGAGGAAGAAAGTGTTGAGCTGCAACTGCCACAAGTTCAAGTCCATCTTTATTAAACACACGCACACATGCACACACACACGCACACACACACACATGCTGCCATAATGAGTGGTTTGGTTGATCTGGCTGTGATCTGGTTGCAGGGGATGTGGTGATTTTGGTGGCAGTGGACTGGAAACACACTGCTTTTGCTCTGTTGTGTTTTTATGATATTATAATGATGATTAATGCATTTAAAGTACATTTAATCTCCACACTTCACTTCACATTTGTCTATTAATGTAACACCAGGTTTTTATAAAGCACTGTGTGAAGCCTAAAATCATATATGCACGGTTGAATCTTCATTATTTATTCGATTAATTGCTTGAACAAGGTAAAATAATGCCCATTACGAGTCAACAGAGCTCAATTTAACATCTTCAGATAGCTTCTTAGTGAATTGCAAACCCAGATTATTCAGTTAAATAACATAAAACAAGAGTATAGTTTAAAACAGTGTTAATAAATCGTTCAAAATGAGCTCTCAGAGGCAAAAAGTGACACCTTCTGATGTCTTAATGAGTTTCTCATGACAGAAACTGCAAAATGCTCACATTTAAGGAGCTGCAACCAGAAAACATTTACCTTTTTTTTTGATTAATTGATAATAATTTGTTAAATTAGTGTGTAATCTTTCCATCGCAGCAGATAAACACCATAAAGTAGAGTTAAAAGTCTCTACAGAGAGACATTAGAGCCCCCTCCCACACACAGTGGGAATATCACAGGAATACTACAGAGGTGGGAGGGGTCGGGGGGTTGTCAATAAGAAGTTGTTGTCATATTTTGGGGGAAAATCCCGTCGAGCTGAGCCCTGCATGCTGCTCAGATTATGTGCAGCTGTTACCAGACACAGTTTTCACATGACCCACTGCAGCCAGGCAGGATGAATGATTCCCATTATATATATCCACAACACCACACAATATATATATATTGGCTTCTTGTTTTTTTTTTTTTGCAAGCTGTAATGCAGCCTCTGTATTGATTTTCTCATTAGCTCCTTCTCCTCCTCCTCTTCCTCCTCCTCCCTCCTCTTCTCTTTCCAGATTGATATGTCACATTGCTGCAGACTCACTCTCAGCCTGGAGAGTATCATAGTGTCATATTTCAGCTGCCCTGCGAGCGAGTGTTTTCCCTGTTTTCCTCCCGGAGTCTGGAGACTTCGCGGAGCTCGGCCATGTATGGAGAAAGAAAGGAGAGAGGGAGAGAGAGAGAGAGAGAGAGAGAGAGAAGAGAGAGAGGGGGAGAGAGGAAGGGATTTTAACAGCTGACTGCTAATGCACACGTCGCATTTTAATATTTCCACTGCTGCTGCTGCTGCAAGGTTTCAGAGAGGAGGATGAGGAAAGAGGGAGGATGATGGGGAAAAAAGGTGGCACACATTCCTTTATGTCTTTCTTTAAATGTAAACCGGCAGCTCAAGAGTTGCTCCAATGTAAACAAGTGTGTGTGTGGGGGGGCCGGGGGCGCGTGGGGGGGGAGGTGGAGGGGTAGAATGGGGTCCAGATGCCCCGTTGCATTAATTTACATGGCTTTATACCGACGTTGTAACCTGCGCCGGCAAGCGGATGCAAAGCTTCTTCCCTCCGCATCCCGCAGACGTTTGACCTGATTTTTCAAATTTTTCTAGCATATCCCCGTCCCCCATCCAGGGCCCCCATCCGGGGGGGGTAAGAAAATGACATTATCAACAGTCAGGGTGTCCCTAACAGCTTCAGCAGGGGCCCCTCGAGCAAGGCATTTTAACGTCTCTGTACCCTCTCAACCTCCATATGATCCTCACGTTTCTTCACAGGCGAGTTTTTTATAGTTTTTAGAAGACACTGATTCAATCAGATTAGGCAGAAATAATTCAATGAAAAGGTCAAATCAATCAATAAGAGACACGCATCAGTGCTCTTTGTCCACTGCAGAGCTGGTGATTTTACTGCTTGCTCAAGGGCGCGTGCTGTGGTAAGAATAAAGAGAGAGTTTGAGGGTGTTGTCAAACCATAAGCTCAACTTTTTATGGTTTTGGAGTCCTACATTTCCCAGATGCCCCTTGACAATACTAACTCCTTTTAACTTGTCAGTAAAAGCATTTGTAGAATTGACACCTCCAGGCTACCGTACCTTAATTAACGCAAGCCGTCTTCACTCCAAATCGCCGCTTCGTCAGTGGCCCTGCGCTCCAGGCAGGGGACCCGTGATTATTTCTGACCCCCGTCCAGTTAGATTTCAAAATAAAGCTTGCACTCGTGAAACTCTCGCACCCTTGTTAAGTTACTGACTGAAACCGACTTCCTTAGACACAGAGTTAAACTTGTTTTAGCCCCAATGATTGTTTCATTACTACTTTATTTTTGTTGCCCTTAGTTTGATAGTGACAGCTTAAGTGACACCGGCCTGGATTGCCTTTGAAAATCAGTGACGAACAGTACCGCTTTGTCCAGCAGGGGTCCCTTATTGCTGCTTTAACTTGTGTAGCGTCAATTTTGACTGTTTGGTCTCCCTGTGTTGAAAGTCCGTGTGTTTGTTTAGTCGTCCACTCACCCGATCCTCTCCCATATGTGCCTGTTTTATACTACGATATAGCCTTGTTAATAATTTATGCCTTAAGTCACAAGTTGCTCGACCCCTAAAATAACTTTGTGGGAAGCATCCTTTTTTGTCATCGATCGGGGGTGAATCCCGATACACGTTACTGGTGTTTGAGGATCTTCCACTGATTTTAAAAAAAGAAGGGGCATTTTATTCCGAGCGTCCCCTTAACCTCAACAAGCCCATCGTAGTTCCCCTCCGTTTCTTAAGAAAAACAGGTCAAGGTCATGAAACTCAGTTGCTCTCACGAGGATAGAAGCACAAGCTGACACACACACACCACACACACACACACACACACACACCAACAACACTCTCTCCTTCGCTGTCCCTCCATCAGTGCGTTTCGCTTCAGCCGCAGACTGACAGGTTGTCCTGAACTAATCTGGCTGCTGGCTGAATATTAAGCTCTGCGTTCAGCCCCAAGATAACAACTGTCCACCTCAACACACTGCAGATTACACCACACACACAACCACACCACCACACTCCTCCACAACAACAGCCACACACAAATAAACATGCACACAAAGCTAACAAACAACACCCCCTGACCCGCAGTGTCTGTTGTGTGTGTTTTTGTTTGTACGTTTAGATTAGTTTCCTTTCCTGGTCGCTTTTTGTTTCCCGACGTTCCAGCACCTGTCAATCAAACTGTGTGGGCGGAGCTGTGATGTCAGATTTCTCTCGATAGGTGGCGCTTATTTCTGTAGCTCGTTTTAAGTATGGGTGGGGGGGGGGTTAACTGGTAGTCAGAAGGAATGAGCTAGCTGCTGTCAGACTCTCCGTGTCCAAGAGTCCACTGCAGCTTTTAGTCACTAGAAGCACATTCATAGTCGTCAATAGATGTTGCATTGAACCATTTCTAACCCACAAAATGCAGATTTACATAAATTTTGGTAATAATTTAAATTTTAACGCAAACACTGAAGAGTTTCATCACAAATATAATTCAGTTTATAGCTCAAAAAACACGTTTTAGGGCGGATAACCTCTTTAATTAATCACCAGATAGAAGCAAACAGGTTCAGTTGAGTCTTAAAGTCAAGAAGAGTTCATTTCTATATCAGTATTGATCCTTTTTATTCTAAAACCACTGCTGCATCACTGTCAGTTTCTCTCTGAAGTATCCCTTCTGATTGATTGATCCTGTAGGATGATGTATGAACTTATACAAGTGTGATGTGGAAACTGGAGCCACCAGTGAACAGACACTGAGTATTTAAATGCATTTTCATAGATTCTGTCATTTTTAATGAGGTAAAATATGCATTTATTAAGGATTTTAACGTGAAAATTATACTTTTTTTGTTCCCAGCTGACTATTTGTATTAATACATGTCTGGAGGGGATCTTTTAAATGTTTTGCTTTCAGGCTTTTGTTTTTTTAAATTAAAAGGACTCACTTGGAGCAACACTTATTTCTCATTAATGGAGCTTCCTGGAAATTAAAGGAGCACTTATGCAGCCTGTGTAGACGCATCGTTCTCATCATTGTAATCAAGCTAAGTTGCTTCAGCAGAAAGGACGAAGGCTGTTGGTTCATCAGCAAAGTGATGCTGTGGGGGGCGGGGGATGATGATGATGCTCTGGCACTCATTATACCAAACCTTTCCTCTGAATCGTCCCTTTTTTTTAAACGTTGAGTCACCGTCCTGCAGCTGTGTTTAAGACCTCTGATGATAATGGGATCGGGGGGGTCGGTTGTTGCCTTAACCCCCGGAAGTACAAGGCAGTGTCGTGTTTAATCTGATCATGTTTAATGCTCCTTTTTCTTTTTGAGAGAACAGGAGTCAACTTGGCTGTGTGCAGAGTTTGGAGATGGGATATTCCCAATGGACATTAAGGCAGCAACTAACTATTATCTTGTTGTTTGGTCCATAAAATGTTGAAAAATGTTGATTGCTGTTTCCTAAAGCTCAGGGTGACGTCCTCAGGTGTCCACAACCCCCAAAAATTCAGTTTACTGTCACAGAGGAATTAAGAAACCAGAAAATATTCACACTTGAGAAGATTAATCAAGAATCACAATAGTTAATCGATTAACCGACTAATCGTTGCAGCTCTAATGTCCTTGAATTTCTTGTTCGGTCAGACCAAACCTCAATTTCTCACATTTAAGAAGCTTTTTTTACTTTTAAAATGACACAAATGAAACAAATAACTGATTAACAGTTGTTAATTAATTGTCTTTTGATTGTCCGACCAATTAACTGACTGAATCATCGCAGCATTAACTCGGTTGCA